AGAAATACACTTTTTACACTTGCCCTTTTTTTGTTTTTCTTTAGATAATAATGTATCTTGCAGAAGGTTTCATTTTAGAGCATAGACACTTTCTCCTAATTTCTTAATGCTACATAGTATTCCACTGTATGGATATGAGATTCAACCCATTCATATCGGTGGACTTTTAGGTTATTTCCAATCTCTTGTTGTAACAAAAACTACTACAGTACTGCAATGTGCATACATCATTTTACCATTTAATTGTGGGATAAATTGCTAAAAGTGCATTAATGGATGGATATAGACAAGTTTCCTTGCTTAGATGTGGACCAATTTATAATCTACCATGTATGGATTACTATAACTGTTTGCTCATACTCTCACCAACAGCGAATATTAAATATTTTTAATTTTTGTCAGTCTGATAGATGAAAAATGGTTTCTTAATGTAGTTTTAACTTGCATTGATTTTAATATAAGTGGCAGTTAATATCTTGTCATGTTAATAAAGGCAATTTATTCTGTACTTTCTATGAACTGTTTATTCAGGCTTTTGTTCATTGGGTTGTTATTGATTTGTAGTACCTATTTTTATTTTTTTTCTAAGACACAGAGTCTAGCTTTGTTGCCCAGGCTAGAGTGAATGCCATGGCATCAGCCCAGCTCACAGCAACCTCAAAGTACTGGGCTCAAGTGATCCTCCTGCCTCAGTCTCCTGAGTAGCTGGGACTACAGGGAAGCGCCATCGTGCCCGGCTAATATTTTCTATATATTTTAGCTGTACAGCTAATTTCTTTCTATTTTTGGTAGAGATGGAAGTCTTGCTCTTACTCAGGCTGGTCTTGAACTCCTGACCTTTAGTCACCCTCCCACATCAGCCTCCCAGAAAGCTAGGATTACAAGCCTGAGCTACCCCTCCCAGCCTGTAGTACCTCTTGATGTATTAGAAAAATTAGTGTTTTGCTTGTAGTACGAGTTGCAAGTATTTCTTTCCAATTTGTCATTTGTTTTTTAGTTTCCTTTGGTATATTTGCTAGGTAGACATTTTTGATATTTATGAGGTTGAATTCATGTGTTTTAAGTTATGGCCTCTGCATTTTATTTCATTCTTAGGAAGATCTTCCTCATTCCATAACTATAATACTTTGGTAGTATTGATTTAGTAGAATCGATACTTGAATTTCGGTTTGTTAATTATGGTTGAAATTGATTTTACTTTTTTAAGAGTTGGGGTCTTGCTCTGTTGCCCAGGCTAGAGTGCAGTGTGTAATCATAGCTCACTGCGACATGGAACTCCTGGGCTCAAGCAATCCTCCCCCTTCAGCCTCCCTAAGGGGTTACAGGTGTGAGCCACTGGGCAGGGCCACAATTGATTTTTAAATGGCTTACCTGTTTATCCCAACATCATTGATTGAGTAAGGCATCTTTTCTATGCTAATCTGAGTTGTCTCCTTTATCAAATTTTAAGCTTCTGTGTGTTTTTAGGTGTATTTTTGGTTCTGTATTCCTTTGATAAATATTTCTATTCATGCATCAGTAAACACATTCTAATTTATTGAAGTTTTATAATATTAGTAGCTGGATAGGACTAATCCTTTTTCATGCCTGTTTGTGGTATAATTTGTGGTTTAGGAATCATTTTCACATTTTTTTTTTTTAGAGAGGGGCTGGCTCTATTTCTCAGTCTCCAGTGGCGTGGTCAGAGCTCACTGCAACCTCCAACTCTGGGGCTCAAGAGATCATTCCACCTCTGCCTCTCAAGTAGCTGGGACTACAGGCACATGCCACCACACCCTGCTAATTAAAAATATTTTTTGTAGACATGAGATCTGGCTATATCACCGAGGCTAGTATTGAACTACTAGGCTCAGAGGATCCTCCCAACGTGGACTCCCAAAGTGCTGGGATTATAGGTGTGAGCCATCATGCCCTGCCCATTTTTACATTTTTGAATGCTTTAAAAAAATCAAAAGAAGGGTAATATTTCATTACATATAAAATTACATTAAATGAAATTTCTGTTATAAATAAAGTTTTCTTGGGACACAACTATACCCATAATTAATGTATTATCTCTGGCTACTTTTGTGCTACAGTCACTGAGGTGATTAGTTTTGACAGAGACTGCATGCCACAAAGCATAAAATATTTACTATCTAGCTCTTTATAAGAAAATTTTACCTGGCTATTAGTCTGAATCACCTGGAAGAGCTAACTACGGTCCTTTGAATATATTATGATATCTATTTTAAAAATTCCCAACAAAATGATTACTCAGGGATATAATTTAATTTAAAATTTTTTGTCATTGAATTGTGTACTTCCTTGAGTGCAAAATACGTGATCGTGATTCTATGGGTTCAGTACAGTTGCAATTCATTGAAATGTGAGTTTTCTCATGTCCACAACAGGATAAAAAGACATTGAAACATTTCTCATTGGCTGGGCAAGGTGGCTCACGCCTATAATCCTAAGCTGGAGGATCACTCAAGGTCAGGAGTTAGAGACCAGCCTGAGCCAAGAGCAAGACCCCATCTCTACTAAAATAGAAATAAATTATTTGGTCAACTAAAATATATATAGAAAAAATGAGCCAGGCATGGTGCTGCATGTCTATAGTCCCAGCTACTCAGGAGGCTGAGGCAGGAGGATTGCTTGAGCCCAGGTGTTTGAGGTTGCTGTGAGCTAGGCTGACACCACGGCGTTCTAGCCCCAACAACAGAGTGAGACTCTATCTCAAAAAAAACAAAACAAAAACAAACATTTCTCATTGATTGCATTTATAGAATTTTTTCCAGGTGCATTCAGTGATACTTAATAAATTGGGACAGGACAGGAACTTCCCATGGATTATAAGTAAAAGATTTTTTCTGGTACATGTTTAGGTTAGTGGATCAATGATTGGCTTTCCACATTGATGATCTATACTGTTTTTCTCCACTATAGTTTCTCTAATTCAACAAGAAGTCCAATGTTCTTGAGAAGAATTTTTAAAAAACTGACTACATTTATTGGACTTACACCCAGTGTATTTTCTCAGGTTTGCCAGAATTATCACTGCAGACTTTCTCAATCTAGTTGCATTAATAGGGTTTCTCTCTAGCAAGATGTACAGTAAGAGAATTACATGTAAAGGGGCTTGACACTTAATGTATAAATAGGATTTTTCTATAGTGATAGTTTTTTAGTACTGCATATACATTTTGATTATAAATCCTTTGATGCTTAATATATTATTTGGCAAGTGCTTATAAATTAAAATAATCGAGATATATTTGAGCAGCACAATCCACAATTGCAAAGATATGGAATCAACTGAAATGCCCATCATTACATGAGTAGATTAATAAAATGTGGTACCATGGAGTACTATTCAACTAAACAAAACAACGGTGATATAGCACTTCTTGTTTTTTCCTGGATAGAGCTGGAACCCATTCTATTAAGTATCCCAAGAATGGAAAAATAAGCACCACATGTACTCACCTGCAAATTGGTATTAACTACTCAACACCTAAGTAGACACATAGGAATAACAGTTGGGGGGGGGGATGGGTATATACATACATAATGAGTGTGATGGGCACCAACTAGGGGATGGACATGCCTGAAGCTCTGACTCGAGTGGGGTGGGGGGAACAAGGGCAATATATGTAAGCTTAACACTTGTATCCACATAATACGCTGGAAAAAAATAAATAAAATAAAAAAATTAAATAAATGTGAAGCTCAAAATTTGAAGAAATAAAAGATATATTTGTGCTTTTTGCTCTGAAGATATGTGATAAAATATTAGTTACCTATCAATCATTTTCTTTCAAAGTGGAATATTGCTGAGCCCAATCACTCAAAATGAGGAGTATGTACAAGGATGAGAATCACATAGCACACATTTAACTGCAAGTAACAGGAAACACTGGTGAAGTTGGATGTCAAGAAAGTATCATGTTATTGCCAACAGCACGAAATCCAGGAATATTATGTAGGGGTTGAGATTCAGCTTCTTTATGTTCCTTCCACAGTTTGAAGTCAGAGTGTTTTTTCACAATACCAAAATCAAGTCAAAGTTGATGCTTCCCCTCCTGGGCCACAGGGACTGGGGACTTGCCAGCTTCCCTTTTTCAGTTTAATTGCATTCCCTACTCTAATTTTTTTTCTCAGGTTGCATTCTATCTTGTTTTTCCGCCTGGGCAGGAAGAAATTTTCTGTTTCCTGCACTTCTTTCCTTTGAGAAAAGGCAACCCTCTCCAGGAGGAGGCAGAAAGCCTGTGGGTGGGAGGGTGAGAGGAGGCCAAAGAAGGGCGAGGGGAGGGAAAGGGAGCCACAGAGGCCAGAGACTGAGATGGGGTGGAGGACAGAGGGAGAGGCAAAGTGGGAGCAAGGGGCAGGAGGATGCTCGGGGCTCTAACTCTCTGGCCCTGTGCCACATGCTCTTCTAGGAGATGCACCTGTGGTCTCATTATACACGTCACTTGGGGCTCCCTCCTCAGGTCTCAGTCCCGCCACCCAACCCGCAATACACGGGGAAGGAAATCTTGCGAAGGCCTCAAGCAGACAGGTCCCGCCAAGGTGGCCGCGCCGCCAGTCCCGCCTTCTCGCCTCTGGGGCCCGAGGTGGCGCCAAGTCTGGTCCCCGCCGCTCCCCGCGGACCCGTCTCCGGAGCGCGCGTCCTCTGGCGCCTCCACTTGGGGAGCAGCTGCGACACCAAAGCAGTGTGTGGTGCGGGGGGGGGGGGGGGGGGGGGGAGGGGGCCCAGCTGGTCCAGCGGCCCGTGTCCTCCCCCTGCTCTGTGCTCGCCTTAGGGCGCAGAGCTTCCCCTCAGCTTAGGGTCACCCTAGCGCTCTTGCTGGGGGTGCAGACAGTGGACTGGGAACTTACTGGGTCTGCAATCTGATTTTTAAACAGTTGTATTTTTTGAGCCAATTTCCCAACGTCTTCTTTTCGCCCGAAAATAGTCTGACTTAATTGCCCCAAATCTTGAAATCGGAAAATCCTGATGGCTCTATCCCTACATTTCCTTCCTTGACACCTACTGGCGCTCTAGTCTAACACATGCCTTGTTTTTATTTGTCTAAAATACAGGCCTCCAGTCCAGAATTATCCAACCAGTAGGATGTCTTTTCTTTAGGTTTCCTGGGATGGCCACTGGTAACAATATTTGCTGCTCTTTTAATTTATAAAGGAAAGAAGAAAAAGAATATTCATGGAAATATTCATTTGCTTCACATTCTCCAAATTTTGAGTAACAAACATATTATGAGTGCTCCTTTGGTTAGCAAACCTAGAATGGCATGAAACAAGACAAGTCAAAATAAAAGTTGAGTTTTCCTAGGCGAATTATAATAAAGGATTGTATACTTCTAAAGTTGAAAGAGCCTGCTGTTTATTATATAGACTGACACAATAACTGTTAACGCATTGATTTTAAAAAGGAAACATTCTTTGTCAATTTTCAATCACTGACAGTCATAATAGACTTTATGGGATAAATTAAAGTCCCTGGGTATTTGTTAGTGCCCTGATTCACTCTCAGGACAAGTCTCCTTCCTTTACTTCGGGAGGGAGAGGTCATGATTATTTGACCTGTGTTAGGGAACTATCCATGCTGTGTACAAATATTTTGGAAACTCCTCTGTTGAAGATTATTGAATGTTGCTTGTTATTTGGCTTTTGTTGTTTGCAACAGGGTCTTGCTCTGTTGCCTAGGCTGGAGTGCAGTGACCTCATCATAGCTCCCTGTAGCCTCTGATTCCTGGGCTCAAGTGACCCTCTTGCCTCAGCCTCCCAAGTATGTGGGACTCCAGGTGGACCTGGCTAATTTTTCTATTTTTTGTAGAGACAGGGTCTTATTCTTGCTCAAGCTTGTCTTGAACTCCTGACCTCAAGCAATCCTCCTACATTGGCCTCCCAGAGTACTAAGATTACAAGCATGAGCAACTGCACGCAGCCTAATGTTTCTTGATAATGGTTCACATTTAAAAATATAGCCTTTTGCCCTTCCTTTTGCTCTCCCTTTGCTGTGACAGTGGGTCCGGTGGTCATTGGTGGGGTATGTATCCTGCTCTGGAATCCTATATCTTGTTCTTGCTCTGTAATCCTATCTTCCTCTCCTCAATAAACCTCATTTTCATGATTGCCTAAAAAAAATATGAAAATTACAATTTTTCAAGTAGTCTATGCTATGATGGTTCTAAATTCACCATTATTGTATGATTTTCTTCCCGAAGTTAAATCAGCTCAAATTGCTAAATTGTTGTTCTTTCTCCTTTAAGATTGCCAAGGTAACAAGAGATTAAGAAACCAATATTTAATTATTTATTTATTTGAGGAGACTCTCCCTCTGTCACCCGGGCTAGAGTGCCATGGCATCATCATAGCTCACAGCAACCTCAAACTGCTGAGGTCAAGTAATCCTGCCTCAGCCTCCCGAGTAGCTGGGACGATAGGTGCATGCCACAGCACCCAGCTAATTGTTTTTCTATATTTTGAAGACACAGGGTTTCACTGTTGCTCAGGTGGGTCTCCTACTCCTGATCTGAAGCGATCCTCCTGCCTTGGATTCCTGGAGTGCTAGGATTACAGGCGTGAGCCACCTCCCTGGCCAACCAAATATTTATATATAGGCAGTAGAATGCAACTGGGTTGGTCTATTTCAGAAAACTCTGGAGACAGGTTTCCTGACCTGTTGTGGAAGTCTCCTTAAAAGTGGCAAGAAATTAAAGAACTTTCATTAGCTTTGCTGTTACCTAAGGGGTTAGCCCTGTAAAAGAATGGAGACTTATTCAAAGTGCAATTACCCAGAATCCCAAGGAAATAACTTAGTTTAGCTCTATGCTGAATAAGTAACATTGACCAAAACAATTGTCCTAGTGATGGTTTGTAAATATGTCTGGCCATTATCTGCTTATTTCCAGGATTGATTGAGGATATTTCTGATGTATAGCTAAGATTCTGATGGTAAAATTGATTAATTGTTGCTCTGGACCTAAGGAATTCCAACTTGTTCTTCAGTGATGTGGGGCACACATTTCACTGCAGTTGGAATGAACAAATAGCTCCAAAATTTTTAGAAATATTAGAAAGAAAAAACCTGAATTCTAAAACTAAACTTGAGAGTACTCTCCAAGACTCATTTCCATGGTTTGAGAATTGGCATGAGCCTTGGTGACAGTGACCTGGGCTCCTCCTGGGATGGATATGCCACTTTGTGCACTCAGGAATTCACTCCCTAACCGGGGCTCCACCATATGCAAGCTCCCTGTCAGGGTGGAAAGCACAGCAGGTGCTCACAGTGTGGGTGGAGAAACGTTTCTCATGCAGAGATTGGGATATGTAAAACTAAAAAAGTTTATTTTATCCTTTTAGAAGGAGGGAGAGAGTGAGACGGAGAGAGAAAGAGAAAGGGAGGGAGAGCAGGGAGACAGTGGCACCCCCAAGAAAGAGAAGGGGGTGCCAGCCCTGAGGCCAAGGGGCTTGCTGATCTCCTGGGGGCAAAGAGAAATAAGAAAAAATAGTGATGCCAATTGAAACAGAAAGGGCTGTAGAGTAATCAGCAGGGGGTGGCTTCCAGACATCAGGTTGTTGGGCTTTCTCATTTTTTCTGCTGCTGGAGACTTGGATATCTCTGATATGTAGTAAGGCAGGGAATGTGATTTTGCCCCTCAGATATGGTTTTGGGCAGGAAACTAAAGTTTGCCCCCCTGCTGTCCCTCCAGGAGCTTCTGGGGGAACACCTTGAGTCTATCAAATAAATAAAGAGCAATATTTACATTTCCTTTCTGTCTTTGGGCTCTTTTCAGATGTTGTGAAAACAGAGTTGCTGCAGGTGTGGGCCAGCTAGGGAGAGAATAGAGAGAGCAGGCAGACAGCTCATGATTGAGCTTTAGATGTTATTAGGAAAACGTGGGATGAGATATGTTCCTATTATTTCAGCAAGGCTACCCCTTTCACTCACGTTTCCAAGTCCTACAAAGAATGATTGAACGCCCCTAACTTTTAAGTGGTGACGTCAGCTTTCCCAAGAAACCCACATAATTAACCTATCATGGATACAAATCTGCAGATTTATTCCTTTGGAAGAGACTAAACTCTAAAACTCAAAGGAAAAAGAACTCTTGCCTTTAATGGAAAGGGAGACAATCAGAGGGAACCATAAACTGAGGGTTCTTAAGTATTGTCCAGAAACAAATTATCTTTGGAAGAAAAGTAAACCACCAAGATCTTCAGATGAAGCTGCTGATGATACCACAAGAAGATACTTCTACCCAAGACAATAAAACAAGATAAATATATATATTTTTTGAGACAGAGTCTCACTTTGTTGTCCAGGCTAGAGTGAGTGCCGGTGTGTCAGCCTAGCTCACAGCAACCTCAGACTCCTGGGCTCAAGCAATCCTTCTGCCTCAGCCTCCTTAGTAGCTGGTACTATATGCATGCACCACCATGCTTGGCTGATTTTTTCTATATATATTTAGTTGGCCAATTAATTTATTTCTATTTATAGTAGAGATGAGGTCTTGCTCTTGTTCAGGCTGGTTTCGAACTCCTGACCTCTAGCAATCCGTCCGCCTCTGCCTCCCAGTGTGCTAGGATTACAGGTGTGAGCTACCTCACCTGGCTGAAGATAAATATTCTGATATCATCACTCTCCTGTGTAAAAATGTTGCTCTCCTCATCATGGTGTTTTGGTGCCCCCAAAATGCCAAGCAAAAGTTTTTAAGCTACGCATATTTTACTGACATTTTTTCTGAATCTTCTGTAGTACAGAATTTCTCTGCCACCTAAAGAATGGCAAAACTCTGTGTGCTTTTCTCAGACTATAGCTACCGTTTAAATCTGACTTATTAATGTATTTTTTATTCTGCATCTGATTCCACTAACAAAAATTTCATGGCTATTCCTTTCAACACTTCAAAAGACAGATTTTCTTCTACAGGTCCCTCCTGGAATTTGAATTTTCCTGACAATATTAATTCTGACCTTCAGTTTCATCAAAATTGGACATTAACCCCAAACGACAAAAGACTTCTCCTGACGTCACTGCAACAATGTGTTGGGGCTCTCCTTGCTGTGTTAGTCTGTTATCTCTTCAGTGACTCCCAGGCCTTCGCGTAAGCATCTTCACAGGTTGAAGTATTAATAATTGTCCTGCTGTCACTTTGATCAATGATACTGACACAGCCCTGATATAGGCTGTGCAACACTAAGGTACTGCTTTTTATGTGGCCGGCAGGTCACCTGATCATTACACAAACCTATCCTGTGTAATATATCTTTAGACTATTTTATTAACCACTTTGGTAGGAGCGTCGACTATCGTCGATAGACACAGATGAACACTCACAGCGACTTTAGCTGACAGCCGTGATTTGACTTTTCTAATTTTTCACTTATCAAAATAAAATTGTGAACATTTAAAAATAACACAATGAAAACATATATGTATATGTTACCTGTTCTGATATTTACATGACAAGTAAAGCTGCCTGTAAAGTAAAACAAGCTTTCAGTGCTTTAAAGCTTTCCTCATCACACAGGAGCAAAACGGATTCGTCGTCTATGCAGAGCACAAACTAGCATGGGGACTATGAGTGCCGGCTGTGGGCAAGGTTCCTTGGGCGGTGAGCGCGGTACCAAAGCGGTTAATAGTATTTTAAACATCTACTTCTACAGGAAACTGTTTCTCTGAGAATGATACTCAGAGACCTAAAACAAGGCAAGCACTGAGAGATATTAATCATTTCCTCTCTCTACATCTGCGCTGCAGGAGCTACAATTCCAGTAAGTAGGAATAATACAAGTAGGAAATGTAGTTCAAAATTTGTCTCTGGTCCTAACAGAAGTCATAAATGACAGTATTTTTTCTCCAGAGGTCCAATAAACTAGGTCCAGTAAAATTTCATGGTGGTCATGGATTATTGTATAGTCATGGCTAGCCAAGAAGAACTTTGTGTTATAGCAAACGGTATTTGCAGCAGCTACCTAAATCATTCCTGGTCAGGTAGAACAGTATTGTGGCTTGGTTAAAAGAAAATATTTTTCTGGCTCTCTAGAACAGATTCATTTGGATTTTTGGACATGATTTCATGGCCTGGTTTTGAAATCTAGGCCCTTGTACTTGCAGACTATTTATAGGATTAATAATTATTTTGTTTTGATTAGTTACCTGTATTGTAGTTGACCAGTGAACCCTGACTAGCTTAAATGCTACTGGGAAATCATTGTCTTTCCAGAGGATTCAACATCTCATTTTGCAAAAAAGATATATAGAGAGCAACTGTATGTAGATGCAGTGTTCTCCCACTAACCTTTTTATCAATGGCTTCTGAGAGTGATATGGATCGGCACCCCACAGATTAAAGTCCTGAGGGCTGACTTTGTCTGTTTTTGGTCAAAAGGGGAGGCTGAGAAGTGCAAAGCACTTAGGAGGTTGCAGTTGGAAGCTGACAGGTAAATTCTAATCATCCCTACCAAACATACATATCTCTTGCTAAATACTTTTACCATTTAAGACAACTCAGTGATTGTGACAGAAGAAGATGTAGAAAGGCCAGTCTGTAACTATGTTTGAAGCCAGAGAGATACAATACTCTGATATCAAGACCATATTAGCCTCTCTACCTCCTAAATAAAAGTTACCAAGGTAATCAGCAAATTGCCCCATGCTAGAAAAGAGGCCACTGTTTCCCTAAACACTCCTTAGACTCACTTAGCCACTCCTATAATTGGTTTTCCACAACTTTTCCCTGTAAGGCTTTATTTTCCTACACTGTTTTCGGTCCCTTGATACAGCACATTAAAATAAACCCATCCTTGTTTGACTACACATATGTAGTCATCGTTTGGATGTTGGTACCTGTCCAGACTTAGGAGGTCCATTCTGCAGCCTTCCTGCTCCAGTACCTTCTGTTCCTCAACCCCAGCCCTAGTTCATGGCCAGTAGATTTGCTCCAAAATTCTTTGAAATTAGCATAAAGAAAATTTTGGATTCCTCGGCATCAGAGAGGTGAGCACTGATGTGATTATTCAGTTTGGTATCAAAGGATTAAGCTCAGAGTAGACAATTCAGAATGGATGTTATTTTTTATTTTATTAATGACACTTAGTCTTCACTCTGTTGCCCTGTTATCAGCATAGCTCAAGTGACCTCAAACTCCTGGGCTCAAGTGATCCTCTCTAGTCAGCCTCCTGAGAAGCTGGGACTATAGACGTGAGCCACAATGACCGGCTAATTTTTTGTGTCCATTTTTAGTTGCCAGGTTAATTATTTTCTATTTTCAGTAAAGAAGGGATCTCCACTTGCTCAGGGTGGTGTGAAAGTCCTGACCTCAAGTGATCCTCCAGGCTTGGCCTCCCAGTGTGCTAGGATTACAGGCGTGAGCCATCACACCCAGCCTAGAATGGATTTTCTTGAGAGGAGCTATTGGGATTGGACGAGGATTCTAAGGTGGTTTAAGAGGCGGGTCCTTTAGGCGCCTATATTTAAGAGAGGGCCTTGGCCCTTCTTCACTTTTTCCAAGTGCTTTTTCAACTTGTTTCCTGCAGTTGCCCCTTTTCTGAATCAGGTAGCAGCAGAGCGTGTGGACATGGAAACCAGTGCTCCCGGCAAGAAGCCATGGTGGACCGAGCCCGAAAACTTTCATGCTCCAATGGTATTTTACTTGGAAGAGGCCCAGGAGGAGCTTATCTTCGGTGAGTGGCTTTTGCCTTTGCCCTCTCCTTTATCTCTTCTTCTGATCTTCCCCAACTTTCCCACCTCCATCTGTCCTAGGTCTCTACCCCCAAGGCCACCTCCCAGTCCCCAAGCACTGGTGACTTACAGTCAGTTTTCTCACCTCTTATGCTCACAGGGCAGAGTGACACATACCTTCGCTGCATCGAGGTGCACAGCTACACCCTCATTCAGCTGGAGAGTTGGTTTACACCCACAGGGCACACTCGTGTCACTGTAGTCGGGCCATTCAGTGCAAGGCAGTGGCTGTTGCACATGATATCCCGAGTGATAAGCCAGGACTCCTACCGTCAAGCCCAGGGTAGGTATCTGTGGCTGAACTGTGGTTGAGGGCTTAGTGGAGACTTGGCAGAGTTGCATGGCTTCTTGGGTTCTTGAAGAACCAGCTGGGTGCCTGGGATTCCGCGTGGTCTCTGGGAGTCTTTTGGGAAGGGAAGGGCCCATTTTTTGTGGCATGTATTGATAATTGTTCAGGGAGGGGAATATATTGAGGAGGTGTAAATAGGTCACCTGGGAAGACCTGGGTGGAGTGACACCCCCACAGTGTCCCCATGTGAGTTCTGGCCTGCCCTGGGGCTCCAGTTGTGGGCTCTGTCTCAGCAGCCCTGGGCATTCTCCCCACAGGCCTCAAGATGCTGGAGCGTGTCCGGAGCCAGCCCCTGAGCGAGGATGACCTGGAGACCCCCATGAGCATGGAGCCCAACACCGGGGACCTGTCATTGGCCAGCAGGATGAGTGGAACCATCTCTCTTAGTGCTCCTGTGGCTTCCCATTCCCACCTGGCTGGATGTTCCGAGTTCCATCCGAGTTCCTTCTATTGGGGATAAAGGACTGATCTCCCCGGGGGAGGTGATATGTAAGGGGAAGTCTTGGCTTAGCATTTGAGAGAGCCTTTAAAGACATTGTAAGATCTGTCTTCAGAACATGAATAAATGGATTAGTAAAGGCTTCCTAAATCTCCATTCCAGAACTTTCTCCCAAATGCCAAATTTATCTTTGGATCTCTCTTCCCAAGATTATGGCAAGTTAAACATTTCCTTGCTTGAACACTTCCTCTTAATTTGCTCCTTTTTGAGCATTCTGTGCCTTACAACTGGGCGATTTCAGTACTCCTGGAGAGAGATGATGGTGTCTTGGACCAGAGTGGAGGGGTCAAATGTTAGGAAATGTACATGGTCAGTTACTAAAGAAAAGTTGGAAAGGTTAGATTCATAGTGGAAAAACACTTTGAATCTGAGTGGAAGAAGAAAACAACCAAATCATAGTATTTCTCAAAGGGAATATCATGTTTATTTCTGAGTTGCTAATTTCAAGATTTATGGCTGATAAAGTAGAGTGAAAACTTAATTTGTGAAAGGCATGTTCAGAAAAATATTTTCTTCTTTAAGTTTTGCACCAAGAATGATCAAATTAACATTCTATCTTCTGTAGGCTGTAATTTTGATCTGTAAATCCCTGTCACCAAAGGTTTCTCTGTGGGTACATCCTGAGTACTATAATGTAGGAGTTAATATTTCAAACACTGAAGTGAGAATACATTCTTTCAAATCATAGCTCTACCAGTAAGTAGCTTTATGATCTTTGGAGGTTTACCGATTTCTCAGTTCGTTTGTGTAACAAGAAATGGCTTGACAGAACAGCAAAAATATTTTCTGTTTCTTTCAAACATCCCCCCTCTCCTTTTGGAGAACTGGGACTTGTATTTCTGTTTCAGGGCAGTAGTTGGGAGATTCAGGAGAATGTCTTATCTTTGTGCCACTAGGAGATGGCTCAAGGGAATTTTCTGGGTGGAGTTTAGGACCTGAGTTTAGCCGAAAGTGGGATTAATCCAGGTGGAGGTGGGATTGATGAGAGCCTTTAGAAGCTTTATTTATTTATTTGTTTTGAGACAGAGTCTCGCTTTGTTACCCAGGCTAGAGTGAATGCCATGGGGTCAGCCTAGCTCACAGCAACCTCAGACGCCCTGGAGCTCAGCAATCTCCGGCCTCAGCCTCCCGAGTAGCTGTGGGACTACAGGCATGCACCACATGCCGGCTAATTTTCTATATATATTAGTTGGCCAATTAATTTATTTCTATTTTTAGTAGAGATGGGGGTCTTGCTCTTGCTCAGGCTGATTTCAAAGTCCTGACCTTAGCCATCTGCCCCCTTGCCGGCTCCCAGAGTGCTAGGATTACAGGTGTGAGCCACGGTGCCCAGGCTAGAAGCTTTATTCTTTTGCTCAGATGGGAGACATTTCCGACAGGAGTCTCACTCTTCCCCATTTGCCAGCAAGTTAATAAAACTCTTTCCTTCTCTTCAAACCAATTGTCCTCAGTCTTCTGATGCTGCCTCGGGACAAGTGCACAGTTTTGGTAACCTTGGTTTTCTGATCTATAAAACATAATAATAGTAACTAACTGAGATGGACAATTTTTTTTTTTTGGCATACATTCTTTCACTACCTTTCTTATAGCAGAACTATTGTTTGGTAAAGGTCTCCCCTACCTCCCTTACTCAAAAGGTAATGCTGATTTAATGGCTTAAGTCAATCAGGGTAAACACATTACGACTTACTGCTTGAGGGCCGAGCATGTGACCTGTATCAATTTTATCACGTGTCAGGAAAGAATTTATAATCCACCCTTGAATGAGGCTCTGCCCATCCTGTTCGATGTCATCGGAGGTGTGTGGCACAACTGCCACTGGCTCTCATCTTGTGGACAATAGAGGAACCACCAATAGTGTACTGCTAGATAGCAGAGACTGAGAGAAGCTGTAAAGTTGATTATGTAATTGAACAAATTGTTCTCTGCCTGGAGGCAGCCCTTTTGTACTTTCAGCCATGTTCGATAAAAATGTTGTCATAGTTAGGATTGTTTCAGCTAAGGTTCTCTTATGCCTCCAGCCAAATGCATCCTAACTGATACACTGTGGTAATGTGAGGATTACATGAGACAATAAATGGGAAGCACTTTCTGGCCCAGTATTGGGTAGTCACTAATCATGTGTTGCTATTCTAAAACCTGGGTCCAAAGACTAAAAGACTGGGCTCTGGCTATGGGTTTGGCATTGGTAGGAAAAGGTAAAGAGAAGCAGGGAGCAGGAATATGATGCTACAGGGCTCAGGTACAGAGGTGGGAGAATTGTCCCCTTCTTCCTTTATTTTATTTATATTTAATTTTGAGACAGAGTTTCACTGGTTGCCTGAGCTAGAATGCCATGGCATCAGCCTCACTCACAGCAACCTCAAACTCCTGGGCTCAAGCAATCCTTCTGCCTCAGCCTACCGAATAGCTGGGACTACAGGCATGTACCACCATGCCCAGTTAATATTTTCTATGTATTTTTAGTTGACAATTAATTTCTTCCTATTTTTAGTACAGATGGGGTGTCTCTCTGCTTCAGGCTGGTTTTGAACTCCTGACCTTGAGCAATCCTCCCGCCTCAGCCTTCCAGCGTGCTAGGATTATAGGCGTGAGCCACCACGCCTGGCCTATATCCTTTTTTTTTTTTTTTAGAGATAGTCTCACTCTGTTGCCCTGAGCAAAGTACCTTGGCATCAGCCTAGCTCACAGCAACCTCAAACTCCTGGGCTCAAGGGATCCTCATGCCTTAGACTCGAGAGTAGCTGGGACTATAGGCATGAGCCATCACGTCCAGCTAATTTTTTGTTCCTATGTTTAGTTGCCTGGCTAATTTTTTTTTCTATTTTTAGTAGAGATGGGGTTTCACTCTTGCTGAACTCGAAGCAATCCACCCCACTCGGCCTCCCAGAGTGCTAGGATTACAGGCGTGAGCCACCATGCCTGGCCGGCCAGAAGTTCCTTTATAACCCCTTCCTAGTCACTCCCTCCTTAACAAAAGTGGGTTTTTTTGTATGTGTGTGTGAACTTATTCCTTCTGTCTAACTGAAATTTCATGTCCTTCTTCTTTTTTAAATTTCTTTGTTTTCCTAGCTGGCATTGAAATGCAGGCCCCCTTCTTTGGAGTCTACAGTGATGTTTGAGAGAAGTTAGTCTTTCTGATGAATGGACAAATCTAGGCGTGGGTGTCCTCTATGGGTCTGAGGCAACTGTTTTGGGAGATGGAGGAGGCATAGAGACCGAGGATGCTGAGACTTAGATGGCACGAGAGTGGGGCTGCTTAGGGAGGTGCTCCTCTCAGTCCTGTAGAAACACAATTACTTGTTAGATGGCATTAATTGATTTCTTCCCAGGCCACTTTGGAAAAATAAAAGACCTCTGGGGAAAGTAATAGATTGAATTTGTGACACGGTGTGAATGAGGCTTGATGAGCACACTCTCCCCTTGACTGAGAGGCCTCTGAATTAGGGGTTGGAAATTGTTGAAAGCTGAAAAAAAGGCTTGGCACTTTCACTCATTAACATGTTGAGTGCCTAGTACCTGGTACTACCTGAGAAGCCAGAGGTATATCGTGAGCGAGATGTCCCTGCCCTTAAGCAGTTTTAATCTGGGGCATTCAAGGTAACTTTGAGACTAAGTGAAGACATCTAAAGACGAAGCTCAGGAGGGACATCAGAGCTGGAGACACTGATCCGGTGGGATCATCCTGCTTCAGTAGTTGAGTCATAGGTGAGACCACCTGGGGATAGCTTGAAGCATGAGGGAGAAAAGGGAAGAGCTGATGATGGAATCCACAGGAACACCGACAGTTAAGTGACAAAACCAATGAGGAGCTTGGAGAAGTCTATAAAAATGACTTGAGCCATAGAAATAGGAGACTGCGATATTGGGAAATGTGTACAGTATTTGGTCTTAGTCTCCTTTCCTGACATACAGCTCTTAAAATTTTGTAATCCCCAAAGTGATGAGTGTCTTTAGTATGCTAATGAGATGACTGGTAACTAGAGCTCCAGGCAGCTTCAGGATGGGAGCTGGTCACAGGAAAGACCAAGATATGATTATTATAGGGTTGGGACTTTTCAGCTTCACCTCCCAACTCTGAAGAGGGGAGAGGGGCTGAAGGATGAGCTGATCACCAAAGGCCCATGATTTAATCAACCACATCTACAAACTGAAGCCTCCACAAAAATCCCAAAAGACTGGGTTTGTGGAGATTCTGGATAGTTCAACACATGGAGGTTCCTGGAGGGTAGTGTGCCCTTCTCACATAACTTCACCCTGTGTATCTCTTCATCTGTATCCTTTGTAATATCCTTTATAATAAACCAGTAAATTAAGTCAATGTTTTGCTGAGTTATGTGAGCCATTCTAGAAAACTAATTGAAACCCCAAGGAGGAGGTCGTGGGAACCCCAATTTATAGCTGGTCTGTCAGAAACACAGGTAAAACAACCTGGTGCTTGCGAGTAGCATCTGAAGTGGGAGGCAGTCTTGTGGGACTGAGCTCTCAATCCACGGGGTAGGTAGATAGTGTCAGAATTGAATTGAATTAGAGGACACCCAGCTGGTGTCCACTGCAGAGTTGATTGATTGGTTGTTGGTGTTGTTAAATAAAATGTATAGGAGGCCATTGGTTTGGACCAACCTCCTGTACTAGGTTCAACAGACAAAACCAAAATGGAGTCACTCATGCTAAAGATTCATGTCACCACGCCAAAACGCTAAGTTGTTTGACCTGAGAAATCAGGAGAGAGATACTAGCCAAATCTCCAAACAGGCCAGGTTTAGCCTACAAGATAAGTAAGTCCCCTCTGCTTTAACCTTTACAAGGGAAGTAACTTTGAAACAACCAATTTGCTTTTTGTTTTCTGCTTCTGCTTTCCTCAGCCCTTTTCAGTATATAAAACCAATTTCCTCTGCTCGGCTTATCAGAACACTCATTCTTTTTTTTATAGAATGAAGTGTTGCCCAATTCAAGAATCGCAAATGAAAGTCAATTAAGATCTTTAAATTAAATTTATTGTAATTTGTCTTTTGACCATGGGGAAGAAATTACCACACACTTCTTGGTGATCAAGAGATCACAGAAGTCTTCTGTGTTGATTGCTGCATGTTTTTTTTCTCTATATCCCAGAGAGACAAACTGAGAAGGGGCAGTGTTCTGAAGAGGAGAGAATTTCAAGATAAATAAAGAGTGGTTGCAGTGTTAACTATTACAGAAAAGTCAAATAAGATGCTTGTTGAATGTGTCCACCAAACCAGCTTCTAGAAGGTTGTGGAGGACCTAGAGCAGTTTGTCCAGCGGTGTGGATCTGGCTGTCATGTGCAGGTTAGTGGATGGATGTTGTGGAAATGGAAGTATTTTATATAATTTACTTTATAAGTACAGAGCTTGTTTCTAAAGTGAAGATGAAGTATAGGATCAACTGAAGAGGCAGGGAGGGTACTGGACAGTTGCTAGTAACATGGGAGAGGCTTAGGCATGCTTATGAGGAGAAAGAGTGAGAGTGAGATGCTGCCTATATGGGGGAGGGGCAGGGGAGGGGCAACCAGGGACAGCTAGGGGCTTGGGAACACAGAGCAGATGAATTAGTCTGCTCTGAAAGCAAGGAGTTCCCGTACTGAAATGGTGTTGGCCTTCCCTCCTGACAAGCTGAGAGATCTCTGGTAACAGCATTGCCCAGAGGGCTCAGGTGAGGAGCAGCAGCAATTCTCAAAAGCATCTGTGCTTTGGGCGAGTGCATGGTGTGATGTCCTCATGGCTAATATAAAGGCAAATGGCACCTTGAGCTGCAGCGTGGGGAAGGTGTGAGTACCTGCAGAGATAGGGGCAGGGACCGGCAATATAGGAAGTGAATCAGAGCAATGTAGGCAAAGGAAAAGAGAAGGAAGTAGAAGCAAGTAATGGAAAGAGATGAGTGTCATCAAAGATAAGGAAAAAAAACCATATGGGTGAAAAGTGTTTAAAAGTAGGTGCAGGTATGGTGACAGTGTAGTGGAACCCTAAAGCCTGATACCTATTCTAGAACATACTGGACTTAAGATAGTTACCAAAAATTATGACAGAAATGAAGTAAATCAGGTGAATTGGCAAAGAGTAATATATCATACCAATGTACCTTTGGCTTTCCTATTTATTTCTGCAGGAAAATTTTGCCATTCATCAGTTTTGTGGTGCTGTGATTTTCAGGGCAGTACATAAATCTATAGTTTGCTTAATGTATCTGATAAATTTCTGCTTTGAAATGTGGTAAAAACCTCAGGAATTTGGGATTAGGTAGGTTAGAGGGAGAAATCTTGTAGTTAATAAAAATTTAAGTTTTCAAATGAACAATTTTTACTTGTACCAGATTCTTGTTGTAGTTGAAATGAAGCTATTAAAATAGCCACTTCAAGTTCTGGGAATATATTTTTACCAATGGTTAGGGTAGAATAATTATTGTAAGTGTATACTGCTTTTAAATGATGGGGGTGGGAAGTCTGGCTAAGATAGTTCCAAAAATGTTTGGAAGCAGTTTACATTTTTAAGTTGGTCAAGCCTGTTCCACACACAATTGTATTTTCAATAGTCTAAAAGTTGACAGAATAGACACATATCTAAAGATGTTCAAACAACCTAAGTGCCTATCAATCCATGAGTGGAATAATAAAATGTGGTATATGTATACCATGGAGTACTACTCCGACACACACAAAAAGGTGAACTAATACCTCTGTAGTATCCTGGATGGAGCGGGAACCCATTCTTCCAAGTGAAGTATCACAAGAATGGAAAAAAAACAACAACACCACATGTACTCACCATTAAATTGGTACTAATGATCAAAAGTTATGTGCATATATGGAAGTAACATTCATTGGGTGTTGGGCAGGTGGGAGGGGGGATGGGTAAACTTGCACCTAATGGGTGAGGTGTGCGCTGTCTGGGGGATTTGAGTTGCTGTAGCTCTGAGTGGGTGGTGCAAAGGCAATTTATGTAACCAAAGCATTTGTACCCCATAATACTCTGAAAGAAAAAGATAATTCATTATGTATCAAATAAAATGCATAAACTCTAGAAGTTCTGCTTGTTCCTTTGCTACAAAGTGTATATTCGAGGCAAAGGTAAAATTAACTTATTTAATGTAAAAAAAAAAAAAGAATAGACACATACCTGTTTGATCTCTTTAGAGCCATGGTGGAAAGCTTCCTCCTCCCTCCAGGATAACACTCAGTCATTCTTCTACTCCTGTCTAAAATACCTCTGTTAGGGCTTTTTTGCTTTGCATTCCAGAGTTCTAGCATTCTGAGCCTCCTTGAAAATAATTCCACTGGAATGACTCCTGGGGACTTAGTGCAAAATTGCTAGTGGAACAGAAGGAATGGGATTTTTAATTTATTTTATTATTATTATTATTATTATTTTTAGGACAAGGTCTCACTCTGTTGCCTGGGCTAGAGTACAGTGGTGTCATCATAGCTCACTGCAACCTCAAACACCTGGGTTGAAGCCATCCTCCTGCCTCAGCCTGTGCAGTAGCTGGGACTATAGGAGCATGCTACCATGCCTGGCTAATTTTTCTAGTCTTTTGTAGAGATGAGACTCTTGCTCCGGCTGGTTTTGAACTCCTGCACTCAAGTGATCCTCCCACCTTGGCCTCCCAAAGTGGTAGGATTGTAGGTGTGAGCCACCATGCCCAGCCTAGGAATGGGATCTTTTAGGGAAGAAGGGGGAAAAGTCCCTTTGGAACGGAAGTCCTGCCCTGGTAGGTCAGAGCTGGATAGGTGCTGAGTTGCCCGAGGCTGCAGCATTTGGGCACCTGCCTGGTCCCCATTTCTGATCATTTGTTTATAAACCCTTTTATTATATAATAGTTAACACAAAACTCACATGTGCCGGTATCTGAGTTATGATCAATATCAAATTAATGTATCTTATGATACCTTCATGAGCATATGCAAATCTGCCCCCTTCCCAAATTACCAAAGACTTCTTCAGCAACACTCCAAAAAGATAATTTTTATGTTTCATTCCAAAATCTGTACATAGTCAGTCAGTTTTGTTGATGGGACCAGTCAGTTAGTTCCAGATAAAAATAGTCATACTAGCTGTTTACTGACATCTTTTTAATGTTTTACTTTAAAACAAATAATCCCAGTAAAAGAAAGCAAAGGAAATTACATTTTAATGGTAGCTTGAAATGGATATGATGTTCCTGATTTATTTGTTTTCAGGAAACAGACAGTTGCATTGTCATACATGACTTTTAGAACTGCTCACTTAAATGCACATAATTAAATTAAGTTTCTCTTACAAAAACACAACCATGTCATTTAAGGCAAAAAATATCAGCTTCTGGGGAGATAGGTTAATATTTATGATATTTCCTTAATCTGGTTGAATGAAGTGATCCATTAATTTAGTTGCCAAGGTTTCATTATTCCTTGCAGTTTTGCTTTGCAAATGGGCATGAGAATTAGTCACTTTGTGCCTGATTTCCTCCTCTCTATTAGGCTTGTTTTACTTGCAAATTGAGAACTTTCAGAATCACTGAGTCAATGGGAGGTTAGAAAGGCACCTTAGAACAGCAGATAAGGACTTAAAAACTTAAATACAATGTCTTCTTTTAAACAAAACTTGCAATCTACAGATATTAATTTAGTTGAACAAAATGCAAACATTTAGATCAGACATAGCAAAATTTTTTAGTTAATCTCATACAAGGGCTGTTTGTAATTAAATAGTAGCTTGATCAACCCTACATGTTGAAGAAGGCAGACAAATTTGAACTGAGAAAGCATGTGCTACTCAGTGCTCAGCTAAATTGTGCTTCAAGACACCATTTGGGATTGACTAATGGACTTGGCTAAGTGTAAATGGGAGACCCCTCTCATTTCCATAGACAGTAACGCAACAGACAGAATCCTACAGTTTTCACACAATACAACTATCTTTTAACATCCAAACATTTTTGTGCTAGAGTAAGATAGACACAAAATGGTCATGGCTTCAATGTATAAAAGGTTTTCACAACATGGTTTATCACATTTTGCTATGATTAAGACCTCAGTGATGTGTTCAGGTTTTGTTTCTGAATCTTCAGTCTTCAGCAATTCTGGATGAACTGTACTGTGTTTGAGGCCAAACAAGGCCTAAGGAGGGGTCCCCAATACATTCAGAATTCCTGCTGCCAGTGGGGTTCGACCCAGGACAGAGTATGTCCAAGAATCAGTGCTACCTGAAACTTGCTGCCTCCCTCCTCTTCCTCAGCTAATACTTGGAGAGAGCCTGCCAAGTGCATGGCAGGTGTCTGGCTGTAGGTCAGTGGAGGGGTGTGTGTGTCTGTGTGTTTGTATTCATGTGTGCAACATCCTTGGGAGAGTGTATCACAACTTCAGGTTGAGTGGAGACATGGGTAGATGAAAAATTGCATTTAATCACTTACTAACATTCTGTATTTGGAAAATGAAAATAATTGCTTTAAAAGATTGACAAAATCTTTTTAACTGGAGTTAAAATTTAGACTCCATCTTCTGTGTTTCTCCAGCAGCCAAGAAGGTTCTGAATGATACACTCCAGGGGAGCGTGTTAGACTCCAAGTGGTGTGAGAAGAGAAAGCTTTTAAAATCTCAGTGTTTATCAAAAGGGACAACGATTTTAAAAGGTTGAGAAACACATTTTAGGTAGAGTGAATTGGTTTAATTGGGGATGGAGGCTGGTTAAGGCCTGGTGAAATTCAGAAGCAGGAAATCAATAAGCAATTAATAAAAAAAAAGAAAAGCATAGGAGGGTCAGTGATGGGGAAAGCCTGTTGGGGAGGGAGTTGGGGAGGATTGGTGGAGTTCAGGGCCTCCTTCCTTCGCGAACAGCCACTCGATGTCCCTGCTCGTTCTGCCTAGCTGCTGGAGAAGTCTTTCTGGAGGCAGCACTAATTGTCTGCCAAGAAAAAAAAAACAACTCTTCCTTTCTTGAGTCCTTCTGTGGCTAGGGTTTAACTGAACTGAAATGCTATCTCTTGTCTCCTTGCCTTTTGAATGCTGTTACTTAGGCTGAAGTTCTGATGGTCTGAGATAGCTAAACTGGTTTCTAACAAGCAGTCAGCAATGCTTGCTTTCTGATAAATACATTTTTTAAAATTTTGTTTCCTTTGGTCTTTCTGCCGCCATGTTATATTATTAAGTGTTTTGATTTGCAGATCCTGCCAGTGTTATCTGGCTTCTGATTGGAAATGTTATATATCAGGAAACTGAAGCAGTTATTTCGGATTTGGAGCAACATTCTTGGGGAGAATAGAAAGTGTTCACTATAGTATAAAAAGGAAAGGAACTTTAGCTTTAGCCTTTCATATGCAAAATCTACACATAATAGCAAAAGACATTCAGGGCATATTAAAAAATAAATACCTTGCAAAATTCTCTGCTTATATATAAGAATAAGGGATGTTTAGGTAGTTGAATTCCCTAGCAATACTCATTTTCTAAAAAATCTATTTCTTTTATTTTGGTTTGTTTCTTTCCCTCTCATTGCTCTTTGAGGGGGAAGTCATTTTCTTTAACTTTGCCTACTTCCCGGTGTGTTCTTTCTGGATTCTTTTCAAGCCTTTCCTATCTCAGTCCCATTCAAATGTCCCATTCCCCAGAGTCCTACCAATAAATATGTCAGCTAAATAAGAATAGCTTCCCACACTTGCCCTTCATGTGGGCAGTAATGGCAAGCCTGGGGTTGGTGTCATTGCAGAGAGACCAGCCCAATCACAGTGGCTGTCCTACCAATCAGTATTTCACATGCTTGTGTAGAAGTTGACCACTTATACAGTTGATTCTGCCATCAGGGAATATGTTTCCATAAAGTCAAATATGTCAAATAGTCTATTTGCCCCACTGGCCCCGAATTTCATCATTTGCACATTTTCTAATTGAAGAACATTCTTGTCATAAAGGACAACATGAAAATGATGTGCAAAATTGCTTGCCACAGCGCTAAATCACCAAAAGCACACAAATTGACATTCAAATTACATTAATAATAAAATGACTGAATAGGAATGGGTTGGCAAATATATCTTGAAATAAGCAGCCATTTCTATTATTCCCAAATTCTGCTTTACTTGATACCTTGTTAGCAGCTGTTGATAGCCATTGTGTTTAAATATACATTATGGCCTAATTTTGAAAATGTATTTTATATTTAGTCACAAAGCAGAAATGCCTGAAATTTGAAGGTGTTTACTCCCATAATTTTGAAATTACAGCATCAAATCTCCTAAATGACCTAATCGTGACATATTCGTACACCCCCTAGCATTAGCTGTGTTTGGTTTCCCAGGCTTTTTAACTCAAGGTACATTACTAAGTGAATGGGTTAATGTCGATGCACCTTGGAATTTCAGCCATCCCTAAACATGCATTTTCATGCAATTAAAAGATTACGGGCTTATAAACTGCCTTTCATATTCTTCCTGATTCTTGCAATTTCAACTTTTTAGAAGGGCTTTCAAAATAGTTCATGCAATGATATGTATGGCTAAAGGAACTGCTATGCCTGGAAAGAAAACAAAGAACTTATTTCAGTTTGACATGAGGCAAGCTGAGGGCGTCTGTACTTTCTCCTGCCTTACAAATGCTCTGAGATGGAGGTGATCTTCCAGTCCTTAGAGAGTCTGACGCAAAAGCAGCTTCCCTGGCAGGCTGCGGTGCGGTGTCGAAAGTGTCTGTCTCTGTCTCTTCGGGGCCCACCTCTTCATCAGTTATGAACAATTTGGATTCCCTCCATTTGGGGTAAAAATCTTGGCTGCCTCTGGAGCCACTGGACTCACTCCCTGAAAGCTGTATGTTCAGTTCCTCAGTCGACCTGATCAGGTTTTGTACAGACAAAGATTTGCCCAAGTCCTTCGGCACCATGGGGCGGACAGACAACAGAGTTTCTCCTCCCATGTCAAAGCTTTTCCTCAGAGAACGGTCCTTGGTCAGATTTGACTGTGCAACCTGAACATTTTCCTTGGAGGCAACAAGGCAGGTGGTGACGTCAGAAATGCTTTCCTGTAAGCCTGCGGGGTTCGGGTGCAGGGTCTCTGGCCTGGGCAGATGCTTGATGGCTGGGAGAGGAGGTGGGATCTGTAAAGTTGTTGGGGCTGCTGGCTTGGGTGCCGTGTTTATTTGGTTTGCAATGTTGTTGGTGGCCACCACTGCAGAGCCATCGCTTTGACTCATTGGCACCTGTGTTGCTTGACTATGCATAGTAGGGCTAAGCGCGTAGAAGGTCTGAGCACTGAACTCATTTGGCGTCAGAATGAGCTGCAGGCCTCTCGAGATGTTGGCACTAGCTGATCTGGATAAGCAGCCACTGTTCTGTGCGGAACTGGACAGGTCTTTGCTATCCACGGGGCTCTGATAGTCAGATGTCTGTTCACATTCAAAAGGTGGGATCTGGAATGAAGCCAAAGTGAGGGCGGAGGCAGAGCCTTTCCGGAGGACCTGTTGGTAGATGTCAAGTAGGCAGTCCAGCTTGGACTCGATGGACTGTACCTAGAAGTGGGAAAAATGGGTACACATGAATATAACCTGTTATTTATTTTTTTTATTTTTATTTTTTATTTTTTTGAGACAGAGTCTCCTTTTGTTGCCCAGGCTAGAGTGAGTGCCATGGTTGGTGTCAGCCTAGCTCACAGCAACCTCAATCTCCTGGGCTCAAGCAATCCTCCTGCCTCAGCCTCCCGAGTAGCTGGGACTACAGGCATGCACCACCATGCCCGGCTAATTTTTTCTATATATATTAGGGCCAAACAAGGCCTAGAGTGAGGTCCCCAATACATTCAGAATTCCTGCTGGCAGTGGGGTTCGACCCAGGACAGAGGTGATGTCCAAGAATCAGTGGCTACCTGCAAACTTGCTGGCCTCCCTCCTCTTCCTCAGCTAATACTTGGAGGAGGAGCCTGCCAAGTGCATGGCAGCTGTCTGGCTGTAGGTCAGTGGGAGGGGTGTGGTGTGGTCTGGGTGTTTTGTAATTCATGTGTGCAACATTCCTGGGGAAGAGTTGTATCACAACTTGCAGGGTTGAGTGGGAGACATGGGTGTGAAAGGAAAGAAAATAATTGGCATTTAATCACTTACTAACATTGCTGGTATTGGAAAAATGAAAATAATTGCTTCTAAAAAGATTTGGACAAAATCTTTAACTGGAGCTTAAAATTTAGACTCCATCTTCTGTGTTTCCAGCAGCCAAGAAGGTTCTGATTGATACACTCCAGGGGAGCGTCGTTAGACTCCAAGTGGTGTGAGAAGGAGCAAAGCTTTTAAAATCTCAGTGTTTATCAAAAGGCGACAACGATTTAAAGGTTTGGAGAAACACATTTTTAGGGGTGCGTGGAATTTGGTTTAACTTGGGGGATGGAGCTCCGGTTATAGGCCTGGGTGGAAATTCAGAAGCAGAAATCAATAGCAGCATAATAAAAAAAAAAAGAACATAGCATGGAGGGTCAGTGATGGGGAAGGCCTGTTGGGGAGAGAGTATTGGGGAGGATTGGGTGGAGTTCAGGGGGCCTCCTTCCTCTGACGGCACAGCGCACTCGATGTCCTGCTCGTCTGCTATTGCTGCTAAGGCTTTCTGGGCTGCACTATTGTCTGCAGGAGAAGTAAAACCCTTCCTTTCCTTTTTTTCTTGTTTTTTAGGCAAGATAATGGTCAGCCAAGAAAAGAACTCTTTCCTCTTCTTGAGTCTTCTGCTGGCGTAGAGGGTTAACGAAACTGAAATGCATCTCTTGGTCTCCTTGCCTTTCTTGACATCTGGTTACTTAGGCCTGAATCTGGATGGTCTGGAATGCTAAACTGGGTTTCTAAACAAGCAGTCAGCAATGCTTTGGCCTTTGCTGATAAATACATTTTTTAAAATTTTGTTTCCTTTGGTCTTTCTGCCGCCGATGTGTAGTACTTATTAGTGTTTTGATTTGAGATCCTGCCAGTGTTATCTGGGCTTTCGTGATTGGAAATGTCTAGTATATCAGAAACGGGAAACTGAAGCAGGTTATTTCGATTTGGAACACATTCTTTGGGGAGAACTAGAGAAAGTGTTCACTATAGTACTAAAAATTGTGAAAGGATACTTTAGCTTTTAGCATCTCAGTATGCCAAAATCTAACATAATAGCAAAAGACATTTCAGGGCTAGTATTAAAAAATAAAGTACCTTTGCAAATTCTTCTGGCTTACATATAAGGAATAAGCGGATGTTGTACGGTAGTTGGAATTCCCTAGCAATACTCATTTTCTAAAAAATCTATTTCTTTTATTTTGGGTTTGTTTCTTTCCCTCTCATTGCGCTCTTTGAGGGCGAAGTCATTTTCTCTTAACTTTGCCTACTTCCCGTGTTGTTCTTTCTGGATTCTTTTCAAGCCTTTCCTATCTCAGTCCCACTTCAAATGTCCCATTCCCCAGAGCTCCTACCAATAAATATGTCAGCTATAAGAATAGCTTCCCACACTTGCCCTTCATGTGGGCAGTAATGGCAAGCCTGGGGTTGGTGTCATTGCAGAGAGACCAGCGCCAGTCACAGTGGCTGCCTACCAATCAGTATTTCACATGGCTTTGTGTAGAAGTTGACCACTTATACAGTTGTTCTGCCATCAGGGAATATGATTTCCATAAAGGTCAAATATGTCAAATAGTCTATTTGCCCCACTGGCCCCGCAATTTCATCATTTGCCACATTTTCTAATTTGAAGAACATTCTTTCAAACAGGACAACATGAAAATGATGTGCAAAATTGCTTGCACAGCGCTAAATCACCAAAAGCACACAAATTGACATTCAAATTACATTAATAATAAAATGACTGAATAGGGAATGGGTTGGCAAATATATCTTGAAATAAGCAGCCCATTTTCTTTATTCCCAAATTCTGCTTTACTTGATACCTTGTTAGCAGCTGTTGATAGCCATTGTGTTTAAATATACATTATGGCCTAATTTTGAAAATGTATTTTATATTTTAGTCACAAAGCAGAAATGCCTGAAATTGAAGGTGTTTACTCCATAATTTTGGAATTACAGCATCAAATCTCCTAAAGACCTAATCGTGACATATTCTACACCCCCTAGCATTAGCTGGTGGTTTGGTTTCCCAGGCTTTTTAACTCAAGGTACATTACTAAGTGAATGGGTTAATGTCGATGCACCTTGGAATTTCCGCCATCCCTAAACATGCATTTTCATGCAATTAAAAGATTACGGGCTTATAAACTGCCTTTCATATTCTTCCTGATTCTTGCAATTTCAACTTTTTAGAAGGCTTTCTCAAAATAGGTCATGCAATGATATGTATGGCCTAAGGACTGGTATGCCTGGGAAAGAAAACAAAGAACTTATTTCAGTTTGACATGAGGCAAGCTGGAAGCGGATCTGTACTTTCTCCTGCCTTACAAATGCTCTGAGATGGAGGTGATCTTCCGTCCTTAGAGAGGTCTGACGCAAAAGCAGCTTCCCTGGCAGGCTGCGCGGTGCGGGTCGAAAGTGTCTGTCTCTGTCTCTTCGGGGCCCACCTCTTCATCAGTTATGAACAATTTGGATTCCCTCCATTTTGGGGTAAAAATCTTGCTGCCTCTGGAGCCACTGGGACTCACTCCCTGAAAGCTGTATGTTGCAGTTCCTCAGTCGACCTGATCAGGTTTTGCTACAGACAAAGATTTCGCCAAGTCCTTCGGCACCATTGGGCGGAGAGCAAACAGGAGTTTTCTCCTCCCATGTCAAAGCTTTTCCTCAGAGAACGCGTCCTTGGTCAGATTGACTGTGTGCAACCTGAACATTTTCCTTGGAGGCAACAAGGCAGTGGTGACGTCAGAAATGCTTTCCTGTAAGCCTGCGGGGTTCGGGGTGCAGGGTCTTGGCCTGGGCAGATGTTGATGGCTGGAGAGGGAGGTGGGATCTGTAAAGTTGTTGGGGCTGCTGGCTTGGGTGCCGTGTTATTTGGTTTGGCAATGTTGTTGGTGGCCACCACTGCAGAGCCATCGCTTTGGACTCATTGGCACCTGTCGTGGCTTTACTATGCATAGTAGGCTAAGCCATAGAAGGTCTGAGCACTGAATCATTTGGGGCGTCAGAATGAGCTGCAGGCTCTCGAGATGTTTGGCACTAGCTGATCTGGATAAGCGCAGGCCACGTTCTGTGGCGGAACTGGACAGGTCTTTGCCTATCCACGGGGGCTCTGATAGTCAGATGTCTGTTCACATTCAAAATGGTGGGATCTGGAATGAAGCCAAAGTGAGGGCGGAGGCAGAGCCTTTCGGAGGACCTGTTGGTAGATGGGGTCGAGTAGCAGTCCAGCTTGGACTCGGTGGACTGTACCTAGAAGTGGGTTACACATGAAACGGTACCTAACCTGTTATTTATTTTTTTTTTATTTTTTGAGACAGGAGCTCCCTTTTTGCCCAGGCTAGAGTGAGTGCCATGGTTGGTGTCAGCCTAGCTCACAGCAACCTCAATCTCCTGGGCTCAGCAGATCCTCCTGCCTCAGCCTCCGCGAGCTGCTGGACTACAGGCATTGCCACCCATGCCGGCTAATTTTTCTATATATATTAGTTGGCCAATTTATTTCTTTCTATATTAGTAGAGACGGTCTCCTCTTGGCTCAGGCTTGGTTTCGAACTCCTGACCTCGAGCAATCCCCCGCCTCGGCCCCCAAGTGCTAGGATTACAGGCCGTGAGCCACCGCCCGCCCGGCCTATAACCTGTTATTAAGAATAAACTTCACTTTCTAGAATTAAGAAGTGAAATCAGGGTGTGCCAATACAGTTAAATCAAAATTAAGTCTAAGTCAAAAGGCAATCCTTCACCCTTAGTGAAGTTACCTAGCAGTGGGAGGCGAATTTAGGGGTTAGAGAGAGAAGCTTTGGCTTGGTATATAATCTCCATTGGCACCCTCTCCCTCCTGTTTCTTTTAAAATGGACAATTGATGTTCTCAAAAATCATGTAAGCACTATGAAAATGCAACCTCAAGACTCCCCATTCCAATCAGATTGCCTTTCCTGACTCTTCTATGAAGGCATTCCGAATTCCAGCTGAAGTCTAGTAACGAATTTATTCTATCATGAAATCAAGACCTTAAGTATCAATCTAGATGATTCTGAATGTAAAAATAAAGGTACAAGATGTTTCAGAACTAATACTTGAAAGTTATATGTAATCCTCAGATTGTCTTTCTGAATGGTGTTGTGAGGATACAGCCTCCCAGGTTTAAACGTTCAATGATGTCATGCGTACATTATAATTAGATTTTGTTTGTATTTTTAAAAACGGTGACCAAAAGAGAGACAATGGAAAATAACCAAAATACAAATGGGAAAATAATCTTGTCATCTTACTATTTGAAAATGCTATAGCTGCCCTGTCCAGTTAAGATTCAATGATGGGAGATCGAAATTTCGTATTCCTCATATGGGAAATCCAAAGGTATGTTAGAGAACACTGCCTATACACAAAGAAAATTTACTTATGTATTTATTATTTTCCCAGGGCCTCCAAGAATTGGGGAGGA